CAACGCAGCGTGACCTTTTGCGCCTTGTCATCACCAAAAGGCTACCAGACTGATGCTATGTGTTCAAACATCACGCCTCAGAATCGTGCCAAGCACACCCTACCAAATCGATGAAATCAGTATAAATACCACTCTTCCGACCCTTTCTTCATCTACCATTCAAGTACCCTACTTGCTCTCCAAAACCACTAACTAATTACGGTATGTGTTTTGCTTGCTGTCTTCCAAAAATGGCCGGCACACAACGCATGTTTGTTCCGCCATCCTCTAAACTACCAAAAAGATGCGATGTTCCTGGCCATGAGAACTGAGATCCGACTTGTTGATCACTTGATCACTTCAAAACTACAATCCAAATACATCATATTGTTGTCGGCTTCGATCAAAAACTCGACTACCAGTTTCATGTCTTCCCCGATTGCTGTGCTTGCATTGCAAGCATATACAAAACTGCGAACCCAGTTATACCTTTGACCACCAATAGCATAGCTGATGTGTATATAACACCTCAACTGTTGCTTCTGCTTCCTTTCTCTTTTCATAACATTGTCCTCCTGTTATTTACCAAACATCGCGGACATGTCGACCATGTTGCCTCTGCGCTGTCTCTCAAAATTAGAGATGGCTTGTCACATGAAGCCGTTTGTGGGGTACCTTTCTCAAAATCTAAACACTTACTGTCCCTGCCATGATCAGCAGAACTCGGGGAACGTCCCGAGAGCGTGTGTCTAAAATTAGCGGCGCCAGAAAATGCATCAAAAACTCCAGTCATGTGTGCAGCGGGACTTGTAATTGATCGCCCAGATAGCGAGAGTATCACAATGTCTTCGCACATGTTGTTGCGCTGTGTCTGGAATGGGTTAGTTCTGGGCTACCAGAGAGCATGTGTATAAAGTCTTGCGAGTCTGACACCTCTTTTGTCTTCCAAACAATACTTGAAAATTGGCTTTTTCAAAATCGCGATGACCTAACTACAGGAGAAGATCGCTCTCTTCCAAAAACGACGATTTGGCGATCCATGTTCTCCCTTTTCCGCCTTCGTCCCACTCATCGGAGCCAGCGACGGCTCTACAAAGCTTCGATACTTCTTTTACCTTCTACTATCTCACACTACTCTCTAAAGTCTGCTTCCTAAAATGCAATTCACGACAAAACATGTGCGGCTGTATTCTCCTCCAAAGTCCAAGGACAGGACTTATATGTGTGCGCTCTTTTCTTTGTCTCCTAAACCATCGCATGCTTGACCCTTGCGGAGTGTCGACACACCAAAAGTCCTGCGAGAAACGTAACATGACGGAAGTGGCTGTACAAACAATGTCCCATTTGTTCTAATGTCCTCCAGCATGTTGCGCATATGACAATGTGCATAGCGATCAAAACTACAAGTTATCAAGCGCATGAAGACTGGCTGTCGCAAAACCCATGGGTTGGAGTGTACGTCCCTCCGCTACTTAGCTTTGGAAGCTCTCCAAAAGATATCCTTGACATGACTATGTGAGCACACCAAGTCGCCACGTCCACATGATCATGTTTCGCGAAGAGGAGGCTCTGGCTAGGAGACGGCTATATAAGCTCGCCTGAAACGCTTCTTCTTCTTTCTTTCCCCAACATGCCTGGAAATTTACTATTCTAAAAGTAGCTAAGACAGCTCGCATGTGTGTTTTGCCGCCTTCCCGAAACCATCTCCGAGCTTTTGTATGTGGCTTTTGCCTTCTTCCAAAATGAGCTTTCGAGCTGACCTATGTCGGCGGCTTCTCTTCGAATCAGAGCACAGAAGCGCACATGGGCTGAGAAGCATCTGTTTTGCTTCTGACAGCTGCTTTGGATTTCATGCCTGCTCTAAAACAACGACACTACGCATAAATGATCCGATCGACAGCAGTTCAAAACACAATCTCCAAAGTGAAAGTGAAAGTGTTTATGTCGAGCGCTTTCGCATTGCCATTTCTCTAACTTTCGCGTGGATTGGATGCGATGACTATAACTACATTCGCGAGTTGGTATGACGAGGGTGAGCGAGGACACCCTCACTTATACCCATATCCAAAATTCTGAACGCCAAATACATGTGTCAGCGCGCTGCATTCACTCAAATCCGAAACCATAGCCTATATGCTGAGATAGTCTCTTGCTTAAAGTCGATGAGAAAACCATGCATGCAGCATTTCTCCTGTGCTGTACGCACCATGTCCAGTTTGATGTCATGACACTAGCGCAAAAGGGTATATAAACTCACTCCCGGCGATAAAGAAGTAAAACAATTGCCTGATATCGTACACCAAAATCGGGTAGGTAATCCCTCCATGTGACTTTCCTCTTCTTCTGACCAAAAATGGTATCGCCTCACTCCATGCCGCGTTCTCTCCTCTCTTTTCCAAAAACTACTCCACTGAACACATGTCTCGGCATCGATGCGCTATATAAATACTTCCACGGCAAGATGGGGAGACGATACTTCTATCTGCTTTTTTTATCACAAAAACTCAAAGACTAGCACCGCATGTGCGTGCCTTCCTTCTTCCATCCAAAACAGACGTCGCATTCTGTCATGTCGACCAGCATCTTCTCTCCATCTAAAAGCGAGCAGCTCGGACTGTTGTCTCCTCAGTCTCGGGTTCCAAAAGGCTGTCTCGCCTCTCGAAAGTGTCTGCGCTGCTCTTCTAACCAAAAGAAACGTATACACCCCTGATGTGGTTTCCTCTTGTTCCAAAAACGGTAGCCTGTGCAGTCATGTGTCAGTCTCTCGATCCACGTCGTCTATAAATTGGCTCTCTACTCTTCTCACATCTTCCATTACCACCGTTTCCCTTACCAAAAATAGAAGGCACAGAAGCCATGACCTGTGGCGGGGCAATTCTAAAAAGATCATGGAACAGAAAGTATGTCGGCGGCGAGATGAGGTCGTCATTCCCAAATTGCCGCTGTAACAGTAGTATGATTTCCACAGGGTTTCCACAGGGTTCATCAAAAGACAGAAACTTCGTACCCATGTTCTGCTTACGAAACTGAACGTTGTCATGGAAAGCCACATGTGAGCGAAGAAGAAGAGAGCCACATGGTGGCAATGTGCTATAGTCTATAAGAGGGGTCTATTGTATGTCCTGGAAGCTCCTCCCTCATCTCTACAGCCAACGCCAAATTTACCAAAACAATCGATGAAGCGCAGCATGATTGCCGAGCTGCTTTCTGAGAACCATCAGTACCATGCTTCGGCGAAGTATATACATGATGATGACCTTCATCATCGCGTCGATGTTTTGCGGACGCTAGCATACGTAGCATATATTCCACAAAAACCCCGGCTGATGTGAGCTGCCGATGTTTGCATGCTAGGGTATGTAGTATTGCCGCCCGTCGCGTTGTTCGACCTATAACGTTGTTCTGGGAAGGCTGCGAATATGCTCGCCGGTCGGTGCTTCGAGTGTGCTGCGATAAGGCGAGGAAGATGCGCTTGGCATGTCGCACAGTGTTGGGTGTGTGGAGTTGTCTTCCGTCTTCCGCCTCATCTTCCATCAACCTCAAAAGCTCTCACGAACCACGCGTGTCGTCCGCTTCCCGCGAGTCTAGCCGAGATCCTGGGCATATCGTTCTCCTCAACACTCCTCTCTTCCTCAGTCAGCGGGTCTGACCACTCCAGCCACGCCTTGTCTTTCAAACAAGCACCCCATGCCAAACTCTTACTCGTAAACATCCCAATGCAGTACGCGCTCTGCGGCCCTTCATGAAGCGCCAGGAAGACCGCATCCTTGCTGACGTTTTGCTTGTCGAGATCCTGTTGACTGTCGAACCGCGGCGCCGGCTGACTGAGCGGATGCGGGATATCCAGCCTCATAACCCCGTCGTCGAACTTCTTGCTAGCCCTATCCCCCGGCACCGCAGCCGTAACACCCACACTCTGTATCGCGTGCGAAACAATCTTGATGCGACCCGTCGGACTCAGGTACTCGCTTCCATCCAGCAACCCTTCTCTTGAAAACGTATACGCGCCATGTCGAAAAGCAGCCGCCGTGACAGTATCGATACTGGAGTACACGCCCAAAAACTGACTCGGCTGCGTATTATACGGATAAGGATCGTATTCCAGCGCGAAGAAATTGACAGTCGGCCTAACCACCCCAATAACACTCTGCGGTCTAGATTTCTGCAACTTATTGCGCGGACGCTCTTTTCTTTCATGTAGCGATTGTATTTTGGGCGGTTTGTGTAGTTTGCCGTGGGGTTTGCGTATAGTAGCGTTCATGGTGGGGTCGCTGGACGAGCGTCTGTAGCTGCGACGCCTCTTCGTCTCCGCCCGCTCTTCGTATTTAACTTTCGCATAGTTGCATATTGTGCCCAAATCTCCGAGTTGGAAAGGGGCCATGATCGCGATTGTTGGTGATGGGCGTCGATGCCGTGTTAGCCGGTCTCCCGGAGGAACGAGTGGTGAGGAGAACCGGCAGAAGGAAACAACGAAACGAACGAGCGAGCGTAGGAAAAGGAGGCTTTGTGAGCAATGGGAGGAGTTATAGTTGTCGCGATCTTATTCATCTGTTACTGCTGCTGTTTGCTTACTTGGCACCGCCCGCTATGTGGCACGTTTCATGTTACGAGCGAGGATTAGGCATGCAGCGTGGTTGTTGGCACGGTCGTGTTATTGGTATGACATGCGTCATCGGCGGAGTGACACTTGGGCACAGCCTCGACGCTAGCTGCTTACGGTCCTATCGATTAAATCCTTACTCGGTCCCAAACTTGACGGCCTCGACCATCATGATCCCCGCATGGGCTTTAGAGAGTGAGGCAGCGACGTCGAGACTATTCAAGGTGCCATGTTAGCTGCTCTGCAAATTGGCCGAACTCTACCGTGGCAGCTGCGAACGGGCGACACAAACAATCGCAATCATCAGCTTATCGTCAATGCTACTAAGTTTGACACGATCTCAGGCTAAACCCGTTGAACCGCTTGCACATCATTTTTCCTATCTTTCATGACAATCATTGAATTCACCGCCACGACCAACTCATTTCCAAGCCATCTTGACCCACTCCTCGACATCTGCCCACAGCGTCTCGGGCCTCTCCAATGCCGCAAAATGACCGCCCTTCTCGTGCGCCCTAAAGAACGCCAGGTTCGCTGTCCTCGCCGCCCAGGCCTTCGGAACAGGCGAAAGCTCATATGGGAAATAGCTGTAACCCGTCGGCTTGTCCACATGTTTGACTTTCTTGCCCTCTCGATATGTGTAGATTGACGTTGGGTAGCAGCCAGTAAGCCAATACAGCGTGATATCCGACAAGATTGTGTTGACGGAAGGCGTGGTAGATGGATCAGTCCACGCCATAAACTTCTCGCCGATCCACGCCAGTTGCGCCATAGGGGAACTGGACAGTACGAGGCCAATGGTGGAAGGTTTCGTGCCGTGTTCAACTGCATAGGCCTTGCCTACTTCCATGAACTCGTTCATCCTCTCAAGACCTTTCTTCTCCGCTGCACTGAGCTCGTCTTCAGGTGAAGAGTAGGATTTGATGTCGACTGTGTGCATGAAGTTGAGATGCATACCTTTGCACTCGACGTACGTAGATGCCAGCTCTCGCGCGATCCAGGCGCCGATATCACCGCCCTGAACGAGATATCCTGATGCGCCGAAACCGAGGGAGAGAAGCAGCTTGTGCATGATGCGGGATGTGTCCGCCACCTTCCAGTCTTGATCCAGTGGCGGGTCAGAGGACAGAGCGAAGCCGGGGAGAGATGGTACGATGATGTGGTAAGGGAGGGTATCTGGCGTGTACTTCTTGCTCAAAACTTCCATGAGGGGTAAGAACTCCAAGAACGAGCCAGGCCATCCGTGGAAGAAAGCGATTGGGATAGCGTCTGGCTTGTTGGAGAACAATGCTGCGAAATGGACGTCGTAGCTGCTACCGCCATCGTCATTGATGGTGGCCTTGAAGTTGGGCAGAGAGTTGATGCGGTCTTCTTCCTTGCGCCTGTAACGTGTCAGTGCAGCCATTCCTATTCAACTCTTTGTCGAGCCTTCGTACCAATCAAACTTCTCCATCCATTCTTTCTTCGCATCAATGATCCACTGCCGGCTGATCCCAAACTGGCCATGGCTGCCCGCATTCTGCTTGTTCTCATACGTCTCTTTCGCGACCGGACTCAGCTTGAGCAGAGTCTTGAAGTCCTGCAACTTCTGTTCCTCAACATGCAGCTCGAAGGGTGTGGGCTGCTGTTGCGCGCCTGCTGGTACGGTGCTGAAGGTTTTAGCTGACGTCATGTTTGCTATCGGTTACTGTCCACGATTGCGATTGTACGACCAGACAAGTACTGAATAGTCGTTCGAGAATGGCAGCTCTGGTAGCAGCCTTATATCGTCGTTGTGATGTCGGAGGTATAGCCGGAGAGCTTACAAATGCTGGATAGCTGGCGTGAGGTGATGCAGCTGCTACCTAGGTATACACGCGCTAATTCCGAGTTGGGAAGTCGCTATCCTCGCTCATTCGGGGAATGATCTGCACGCTCATGTCATGCCACGCCCTCTCATAGGTTGCAGTGTATACACATGGAAAACGGGGGCATTACAAATGCATGCAGATCTTAATACACACGTATACGGTGCGGCGGGTTTGGAGTCACACTGCTTTCACGCGTCAGATGTGTACGTTATTGGCAAGTATGGCACCGCTCCACCCCGCATTCTTGTCGACATCTGTCGATGATAGAGCCTCGAGTGCACAGTCAGTATCAATGCCTCAGTTCGCGCAATATAATGAAATCGAAAATGCTTTGAATTAAGAAATGAAACTATTCGCTCATAATCAGCCAAGCGCCTCCACCAAAGAACACCGCGAACACCATGAGAGTAAGAATCGCAGCGCCGGCCTTGTCCCCTGTCGTGATAGAGTCATGCTCAACACGCACAGGACCCGCATCACTTCCTGCAGTAGGATCGTTCTCACTTATTCCACCATTATCAAGTCCGACGGGACCAGAAACTTGATCAACAAGCAAATTCTGCATGACCTCCAATGCAGACATTTGCTCTCCAACGCCCACCTCCTTGTCGTTTCCACCTTGCCACCACCTCAGACCACAGCCACCTTTTCCGGGGCCACATTGTTGCGCAGCTGCCACAGCAGAGGCACGGAGTTTGGGCATGATGCGGTCGCGCGTCCAGGGAGCGGCTAGCATCGACCAGCCCATCCAGCGGGCGAGGTAGGCTTTGAAGGATCGTTGATCGTGGTCGCACAGTCCGTTGCGTTCGCAGGCCATTTCGATCATGACGTCTGGGGCTCCTTGCTGTTGGAAAAAGATGTCGGTACCGTTGATAACGCCGCCCAGGCGCTCTCGCCATCTGCCTGCTCGTTCCTTCGTTGCGTTAGAATGAGTGTGGAGTTGGGTCAGGTTCAAGGAGTCTTACCGTATCACCCTTCGCTTCTGACATGTTCCACAGGGCTGCGGCACCCGCCATGTGGATTCCAGCGTTGTAGGTCCATTGGATGTGGTTCTTTTCCGTGCAGTTTTGTCTCTCACTGGTACCATCTAGGAAAGGTATTTGTTAGCACGTATAGCATCTGAAATATATTCAAGAGCATCCTTACCAAAGAAGTGGTAATCTGTGCTGATGAGACCAACACTGTATTGCCAATCCCATGCTTTCTCGGCCCACTCAACATACGTCTCGTTGCCTGTATATTTTGCCAGCCTTGCTGCGATGTTGAAAAAGCATCCGTTGGAGATTGTGTTCTTGTAGTCGAATCCGGGGTTAAATCGGAAAATTTGCCAGTTGAGTCCACCGCCGCATGTTTCGGGATTCCAGCGCGGTACCTGTGTGTTGAATACGGCGATGGCGAGTGACAACCACGACATTTCTCCTTCGACATCTGGAAGCTTGTTTTCCGCTGCTGACATGGCAGCCATTCCCCAGAAAGCCTGATCGTCGTTTCCTAGTGTTTTTGTCTGGTTCTCTGGCATAAAGGCTCTTGGGATGCCGATTTGGTGCACCATCGCTTGCTGTACAATCTTGTTGTATGTGTCGTCGCCGGTGTAGTACCAGTAGTCGATGAACGAGTTCATCATGGCTCCGCATAGCCACCAGTAGTATGGGTCTGGCAAGTTTCCAGGTACATCACCGGGTTTGTCACCAGTGTACCATTCTCTTAAGCCCGCTGCAACAACTTTTGTCGCATCCTTAATAGAGGCTATTTATGTTAGTGGGGTCCGAAAACAGTTGCAGTGAGCGCACCTGGATCGTCAACATTGAACTCCAGCTGCGCAGTGGCGAATGAGGAAAGCAGGCCGACTGCTGCAAAAACAAGGTTCGAAGGTCTCATGGCGGAAGCTCCGGGGTATCACTCGAAAGACAGGTGTTGGGTATTCGGCATGCGTGGATTAACGAGTGCGCCTGAGGCACTACACAGCGAGCGACGTGAAGCGGAGCCTGAGGTTGGTGGGAAGGAAGCGAGGGAAAACGAGAGAACGAACATTCTAGGATGGCGAGTCGTGATGTTATGAAACCCCTTCGGCCGTCAGCCAAGTAACGGCGTTGAGCCGCAGCAGTAGCTGGGCGACAGTGCAACGCTTGGTAGTCATCCTTCGGTGTTGGTACGAGGCTAGGGTTGGATCGTTTAAACTCGTTAAAATGACTACGAAACTCACGATTGGCTTGGCCATTTAGTCTGGCCCTTCAGGCCCTCCCCTATCATTGATTGCGCGCAGGTCCCGGTTGTCGTTGTACATAGGGGCTGGTGTGCGTAATGCAAGTCGCCAAGTTTGAAAATGGCATTGGCGGCGCTTGGAAATGTCTTGGGCGCCGAGGACTTAGGCCGTCACCACAGCAGCAAGTCTTCCGCGACGTCCGGGTGGCTGCACTTGGATCAAGGCAGTGGCATCGGTTCCTGCGTCAAGGATGATGCGGGGAAGATCAGATGCTTTTCTCCACTCGTCATTGGAGTTGCGCTGTCCGGATGATCGGGTGGGATGCGTGCTGCTAGGGTCTTGGTGTAGCCGCGTATCCGAAACGGCCATACCCGCATACGAGAGCAGATGCATTTCTTTCGAAACCAAGGATTTGCATCGTCGAGATAACAGCTCGAAGCATGCGCGATCTAGAGTAGCGTTGTGGATGGCGGGGAAGCCCTCACCAACGATCAGATTACCTGTCATCTCACACCGCTCTACCAGTCACCGATCTGGTGTTTCGTGATCCGATTAGGTTTCCTGCATCCTCGTACCTTATTGCGCACACATTGAGCGCGCGTGTGCTAACGAAATGTCGTCGGCGAAATTCAAAACAACCTCCAACACCATTGACACGAATTCGCCGTGACCGTTCATGCGCATACCAACCCTCAAATCTCCTCGAATCGTCGCTGGAAACACCACGCTGTCCTTCTCCGTGGATGCAGAAACCTCGACAACACGGCCAGCTTTGTGACCGCCGTAGTCCTCTTCACCATGTCGCATCTTTGCACGACAAGTCTTCCTCGCAATTGCAATGGCTGCGCATCTTGCTCCCTCATGCCTGGACCTTTTGGTCCAAGGGGGGTTTGCTGTGTGTCTGTTCAGTCTTTGGTGTAGGCTGACAGATCGATATTCGCTTCAACCGAGCCTTTGGCCCGGGAGAGTGAGTTTGTTGCGTATCTGCTCACTCTTTGGTGGAGACAAACATGTCGAGTTTCTCAGTCGCCGGATGACCTTTGCTCTCTGCCTTCGCTCTCTGGCTCAGGCATGCATGGCGGTTCTTCATAACCTGGCTCTTTGGCCAGGCAAGTGGATTCTTCTGTGTGTCCGCTCGCTCTATGGCGCAGACGGACGATGTGGTTTTCTCGTCTGCTGGATCTTTGACCCAGCAGAGCGGAGTTTACTCTCTACCCTGGCTCTATGGCCAAGGCGGGCATGTCGTCGCGAGCTTGACAGTCTGTTCGAGCTCAGAGGCGGCTGTCGATATCGATATCTAGCCGGAATCGGACAATCATTGTCGTATTGGTGAAGAGAAGCCGTAACCCATTGCGCAATATTCGAAGGATATAGCGATGAACTGATTACGAAAGCCCATTCGACTACGTCCTCAGGCGTAGAGCGATGCGGACATTGCACACTTCGGAGCGCGCATATAGTGGGTGCTCGTTGAGCTCGCCACTCCCGAAAGGGTTGTCATTTCCCTCCGATTCTGCGTTTGGGTTCACGAGGCCCTCTCCTTGGAAGCTCGAAGTTGCTGTTCCATGATCCCGCTCATCATGTACTCTTCTCGCTCCCTGATAGTGGGAACACCGTCAAATTTTGATCACATCAAACGGTACGGGCTCGCCCGGCTCGTTCGCGCTGATGTTTGCCAGGCTATTATTTGGTTGAGACTTGAGCCAGTTATATACCGCCAAGCCAGAGCGCGAGAGGTCATAGACTGGGTAATGCCGGTTGAACGTCAGCGGCTGAGCTGTGGTCAAGTTCTCGTGAGCAGAATTGCTAGTTCCGATGCCATCATGTGGTCCTGGGTCCTCGGTAGACACAGCTTTTGACTGGACAGTACGTACGGCGGAACTAGGTAGACGATAGCCGGCCTTCTGGTCTTCCGCATCAGTACCAACTGCTGCAGCCTTTGGATACAGCCCATGCAGAAGCGTATCGTAGTCGGCGAAGATGGAACTGGAAACGGGCACCAAAGTGTCAACTAGTTGCATTGCTGGCAACTTCGCTGCCGTAAACGAAGTCTTCTCCGGGATACCGAGCGATTCCGACATATATCCTGAGTCGAACATGGCTGAGAAGAACGTCTGATCAACTTCCACTTGGACTTGCGGCGCGACATCAGGAAGCTTAGCCTCAGTCTGCTCGAAGTCTGGGAAGACCTGCTAGAAAACGTCTTCGGCCCAATCCTCTTGTAGAGGGTTTATGTCTAGTGTGAGCTTGATGGGTTTCCCATCATCATCGACCGTGGGTACAACGTAATCATCGTCGTCATCTTCCTCATCTTGAGGGCCCAGAAGGCAATCTACCTCAGCCCACCAGTCGAACTCATACTGATCGGTCTCTGCGACGATCTTCGTATGTACCGCTTCGAAGAACTTCTTGTCGTTTTGAGGCAACCCGGTCAGCTCGAGCGGCCACCCGTATCCATCGAGCATGTACTCTTCTGCCATCTCGGTATCGATGGCAAGCTCGTCTTCGGAGAAATGCGAGTGCGTCAACGACGGAGTCGAACCGAAACTGGATGCGGAATCGCTATCTGCATTATCCAGAGTCCACTGACCTGCTAAATACGGCTCGAGCATGCTGACTGCTTCCTCAAACGTTGCAGGCTTGCTCTCGTCATTTTCGTCAACATTAAGAAGCACGCAGTTGACATCGAAGAGGCGGCCATTCGAGAAATTGGTAAGTCTAGTGAAGATGTCGTCGACAGAGAGATCTGGACTTCGCGCGAGGACGTATTTCTCCGCAAAATCTCGGAAGGTGTAGGTTGGGAACTGGGTATGATCTTCCTTTGTTGGGAGACAGGCGGTTCGGTCACCTTGGTTGAGTTGCTCATCGTCTAAACGGGAAGGCTCCTTTTGTTCCCTGGAAGTAGTGTCGCTGAGTGTCTCCCCTCTACCGGGGCTTGAAGTTTCTTTTCGAAACTTCTCGATAAGCTTAGCAATGATAAACTCATCAATGACCATGGTTAACCGAGTGGAGTATTTTTGGTCTTTTGAATTCGCTTCGACAGCTGCTTGGGTCTCCCACTCAGTCCCCTCTACCTCTATAGAGCCTTCAAGATCAGACTTAGGAGGTTGCTCAGCATGTTGAATGAGGATGATAGGTCTCTCTGATGAGGAATAATCGTAGCCAACAGCCGAAGCACCAAAAGTAGTCGAGATAGACTTTATATCTTTGCCAGTTAGTACTGCGGGCTTTGGTGTGTGTTCGGCCCAAGTCGATTCTGGCAGTTCAGGCGTTTGAGTGGCGATGCCCGTCCCAGAAACAATGTGTTCATTGACTTTCGGTACGTAGATGGAAATTGGTGCGTCAAAGGTGCTCTTAGCAAAGCCAAAGTCAAAGTTTGGTGTGTCAGAGAACTGCGCAGATGGGGAGGACTGTAGCAGCACGGATGTAGGGTGGGCACTGGCGGTCTTCGAAACCGGAGTAGTAAGCGTACAGCCGCCGAACGGTGGAAGAGGCTTCTGTGGCACCGACGTAGGAAGTCCGAAGATTCTAGTACCACCCTGCGCTGGGACAAGAGCCGATGGTGTAGCGACTTCAGAAGCAGGAGTAATCTTCTCGGCGAAAGAGGTCAAATCAAAGTTCTTCCGGGTAGTCTGAGACTTTGGGAGGGGCTTGGGACGACGAGCGCCAGTTTCAAGTACCGGAGTGTGAGGAGTCCATGGCTTCGAAGCAGTGGGCTCGGTCAGCACTGACGTGTTCTCCTCGCGAACTGGCGGCAGTGCGACGGAGAGGCCCAGAGCCATGCGTGTGGCCAAGTCGAGATCTAGCAATTCCTCAGAGAAGTCTTGGTAGTTCTCGGACATTTCGAGCAGAGTCTTGTCCCATCCCATCGTCTTGATCTCTTTGATGTCTCGAACATATTGATACGTCTGCCAGATAGCAGACCATGGCTTGGGCTGTTCATCGGTGATGTCGCGACTCTCGAGAGACAGGAGGCGAGCGGCGCGCTCGGGTGCTGGTAACGACGGGAGAACCTCTAAGAGGACGGCGTTCCAGAAGTGCCACTGGGTAGTAGAAACATGAGCGGGAACGTTGAGCGTTGCAGCCGTCTCGACTGTAGCCTTCAGCGCCAGCCAGCTGTCCAACTTCTTTGCTTCTTGGCGGTCGTTATATACGCGCCGAAGCCGCGTCTTGATGTTCTCTCCAGGGTGTAAGGCAGACGTCTTCTTCTGCGTCTTCTTCGAGATAGCGGCCACCACTTCCGTAGCGATAATGATGGGTGCACCGATGGACCCTTCAATAGGTCGAATTGCTGCAGCCTCAACCGATTCAGGATGATCATCATCGTTGTCCACAAGGTAATCGGCGCAGTGATACTCCTTCTTATTCCAAATAAAACGAGTCGTCGAGTCCTTGGTAAGAAGGGGGTTCGCAAGTGGTCGATTTGACTCTTGGCAGTGAGAGGGGTCGAGGAAGAGGTAGACCATGTTGTAGAATCCGGCGTAGCGCTGGATGTCACCGGGATGTTCGGTAAGCATCATATCAAGAGCGGCGTCATTTAGAAAGACGGACGCGCTCTTCTTGTACTTACGCAAGACAGTGGCCTTGACTTCTCCTAGCAAAACGCTGGACGGCGGTAGTGGGCGGCTTGACATCGTAGTAGCTGTCGATGATTCGCGTGAGTATGTAACAATTATGTGGCGAACGGATCGATTGCCTCCGGTGTATTGCATGTGAGTAGAGAGTGTAGTGCAAGCGGCTGGAGACGGTATCGAGTGGGGGTAGTAAGGCGGAGCACGGACCTTCAGTGAAAGTTCGGACTGGAGGGAGACCTGCCTTAACGCGATGGGGAAAGCCGCGAGGTTCTGGAATGAGTGGGCAAGAGCGAGCTTAGTGGCGTTTTGAGAGTGCAAGGAAGGCGTAAGATCAACTCAGGGAAGAAGGTCGAGAGACGATATCGAAAAAAAGGCCAAGCAGCGTGGGCGTCAAGGCCGAGGTGGGTGTAGGGAAGACACGTGCCCTGAGATACTGCCTAGATGGGAAGGAGAGATGCTCAATGAAACAAGGAACTGTGTCTGCTTCACTGTTCAGATCGTAAACTCTCCGAGAAGCAATAGTACAGGAGCGTACATAGGAAGATACGTCGGTGACATTGGGGTATTGATGCTAGGAAAATTGACTGAGTATAGTAGGGGGAAGCGCGCGTACTTCATCGCTATTATCCTCAACAATCTGCGTCCACACTCTTTTGGTCGACCATCCACTTCCAGAAAGCTCGTGCCTTACTCCGTGCGCCTATACATGCCGTCGCATCCAGATGGCTAGCAATAGAGAACGCTTCTATGATACGTAGTGCCACCACCTCATCGACTTCATCGAAAGGCATCAAATCCAGGAATTGCCGAAGCGTAATGGAGCCCAGCTTGACTTGCGACTGGACAATGTAATCGACGCTAGTAACGTCCATGAGGTTCAGTGTTGTTCGCATAACTAGATCCCACCCCTGACCAGCAGAACATTGTCGAGCGTAGAGCTGCTCTGATGCTGCCAATTGTACGAATGCCCGAGTAATCGCATCTTTGGTAGCGGTATGGTTTGGTGTAGTTTCCAGTGTTTCTAGGAAGTCGTCTAGCGAGCCAGTTCCTATGAATGTATGCCGGTGCTTGTACTCTAGATCCCGTTCTTCTGGAGTCAATGCGTCTACGCTGGTGGTATAGTAAGCGGTCTCCATGCCAGATGTTCGCTTTGTACAACTTTCGACACCGGACTTTCCAAATGGCTGAGTGGCGCTGGCCTGGCTTGCGTGTGTATTGACTGGGAGGTTCAGAGAGACCTTCCGACGGTGTCTTATTTTAGGGTCATCTGTGGTTTCTTTGGAAGAATTTGCCCTAAACAACAGCAGTCCATCATTCGTTCTTGATCTTGACCGAAGCGGGATTTGAGGCGTTTCAGTAACGCCGAAGCTTGATTGAGAAGAGACGTATCGACGATGCCGAACAGGGCGTTTAGCGACAGGATCGATTTCGTGCTCTGCCAATTGGGGAGTCCAGGTGATTGACACTCCTTCCATCGGTGCGTCGTTACAAGCTATGTACGCACTGATGTCTTCATCGCATCCTAGCTGGCTGGGTGTGCATACAGGCGCGTCTTCGAATAAGGTTGTATCTGAGGTCGGGGATGCTGTGTCACTGGCGTCTTCAGGGTGCGGCGTCGGAGGAAGAGATCGTGGGGCGGATGCACCCATGGCAGGGAAGCAGAAGGTGGTGAAAATCTGGTACTCGTGGTCGGTCGTTCCTTTCCACGCCTTTGTGACAGTGTCGCGTGCAGGCAAGCCGAATCCGCCAGCACATGGGTTTTTTGCAGCGTTTGCTCCTGTAGCCACCGCGCCTCTGTCTGCGTTGGGTTGCAAAGCTGCCAGAACGGTACTGCCAGTGCGTTCGCTCGTTGACATTGGCCTCCAAACGCCCGGCTTGCGGAGATGTCCTATCAAAATTCCGTGTAAGCTTTTGTATAATAGACCTTGCATCCACTCTGCATCCGACCGGGACTTACTAGATGCTGTACTAATCTTATCCAAAGCGATGGTCCTGACGCCGACTGCGACTGTGTCGCATCTTTCGTTCGCTGTCGATGTGACGAGGGATTGTACATGATCCAACGCTGGCTGAGCTTGCGCATCCGTTGTTTGCTTGTCTGGCGTTTGTTCAATGGCGGTGCTTGAGAGTTCGACTTGGTGCTCCGGGGGAGTGCGATTGGCAGCGTCACAAAATCGCTGTTTCCTTCGGCGCAGGTATTCGTTTGCGATTGCGTAGCGAGCGACAGTCAACGGCTTCATAATGGTTATGAGTCTGGACAGAGTTCGGACGCATATAGCGATTGCGCGCAAGCGGTGGTGGGGCGGTTGTTGTGGTCGGGTGAGGATCACGCGTATCAGGAAAACATGGCAACAGACGGCTGCAAGCTCCACTATTACCAGCCCGAGTGACTTCAGACGATCGAAAAAGAGTAGGAGGATTCGCAATGCGCAGTGCAACCAGACAATGTACACCATTGCTGTGTCCACAGGTGCATTACGGAAGAAGGAGACCCGGCCAGCGGCGATGTTAGCCTGTAGTTTGATTCTCTTAAAGTCGTATACATACCTTGCTATCTCGATCGATAGCAATACAGGATCGCCGAGGAAGACCAGTGGTGTTGTAATGAGGATGGCGCCAAGTGAGATGTTGTTGTAACCACTACCACGTGGCAACCGGCATTTATGGAAGGAACGCAAGGCAACATGACTTGACGAGAAATGCAACAGAAAGAACGATCACAGAATTGTAGAAGAAAGGCAAAAGTATCAGCCGAACTCTTCTCTTTCCTTAGATGGCTGTATCTTCAGGCACCTCCTCCTCTACCCTTTGTACGCGCTACCCGGACACTGTGAGGAACAAACTTCAGTGCAGACATGCTAGAAGCCAGACTGTCCATGGAATCGGTCGACTGATCAGTAGTGGCTGTCTTTGGGGCAGTGATACCTGCTGCGTCTTCTCGTGTGAGCCCGCGGCCTCCGAATCCTCCACGCCCGCGAAGTCTGGTGGGGTAGCGACGCGTTTCTCCTTCTTCCTGAGCTTCTTCGTGATCCATCTCCATAGTTTCACCAGTGCTTGCGCTGGACTCACCTCTCCGCCTCCTTGGAGAGCCAGCAGCGCCATTCGCCGAACTCATAGTCGAGCTTCTTCGTCGGTGAGAGGGTATTAGCATGCTGCTTCGGCGATCGATACCGTCTTTCACAACGATGAAGTCGTACTCGCGAGGGAACTGGTGCTTATCAATGCAGTGGAGGCGGCGCTTCTGTGGCGTGCTGCACATGCGATCGCAGTCAGGTAAGAGACATGCATACTGCGAGCTATCAGCTACAGTGCCCTTTTGAAGGCGCTCGTACTCCGCATACCTCACCAGTCTTACTCCAAATGGATGGGCGATCTTGTCAAGAGGAAGGAACCACTGGGCAGATCCGGAAAGGGTAGGAGCAAACACGTGACAAACAAAGTAAGGAAATGACCTACCGTTTTCTCTCCCTGGTCTCGCTTGGCAGCATTGATAGGATCGTGATATTCTGCAATATGCAGATGTAGAAAGTGCTGATCCGGAAAGTTCTTGTGGCATTCGCTGCATCGGTTCATGTGAACTTGCTGGTAGTGCACATCGTGGTCTTCAATGGAATTGAACGCAAGCGGTTCGTGCGGGGGCAGTGAGCACTTCATGATGATGGGGTCGTCAGAGACGGCAGATTCGGTATCTAAGTGGACAATCTTGACGTCGGCCGATGTCTCACGCGAGTAGGGTGTGCTGTCTGATGACGAGGAATCGCGGTGTGAGCGCTTGATCCCCATTGTATGTTGATTGGGGCTGATTGTGACTGTGACGAGGCGTAGATGAAAGGGGCAGTACCTTTTACCGGGGAGAGTGCCGTCTCGCAGGGCTGTTTCACTTGGGTGTTGGCTGTGAGGTGAAAGAGAGAGGGTTGGTAGCCAGCCAGGCCGGGACGTGGTACCTTAGCTCCGAGGCTGCTGCGCCCGCTAGTTCTCACGACTCATCCACCAACCTCACTTTCTCACACCTCTCACCACGGCCATCGCCTCCGACTCTGACGCCATAGCTCCGCGTCTTGGGCGCTGTTTGCCTCCGAGACCCTCCCGCTCGCTTCTGTCCTTTACGCAGGGCATACCCCCTCACCATAAATGGAGCACGCCAGCCACAACGTCCGCCGCCTGCTCCGTGCCTTCGTCTGACCTGCCCGCCGACCGTGGGGTCACATATGAACGTCGCCGGCTCCTGCACATAGAAGGCATGGCCGCCAACACCGAACAACTCGACAGGTGCGTCATTGCGTCATTCCCGTGATGTCGGCCGGGTGCTAATAAAAGTATAGACGGGCGAAGGCGATCGAGAAGGACCTGTATAAGCGCGCTGATGGCGGCTCTCCGTGCGCCGAGTTAGCTGCGGTGCTGCAAGAGTAGGCATCGTTACCACTTCATACCGGCGACAACTAATGCCCGACAGGTACCGCGCCGCCTGCGAGGCCCTTATCTTCTCCAACTTCGAATACGCATCCGCCCGCGAACTCCAGACGACGCTGTGGAATGCGCATCTGAAGGTCAACACCAAATTCAGGCAGGAACACAAGCTGGTGCGTCACCACGCGAGAAAGCACGAGAAGCATCGCTAACACCCGGCAGCTCAAGCGATCCAAGGACCATGTTGTCGAGATCCGCAAGTTCCAAAAGACCTATCTGCAGTTTATCAAGGCCAGCCAGCGCTTCTACCGCCAATATATACTGAACCTCGACACTCAGTTCGACGGCATCCCAGAGCTGCGCAAAATTGCCCAGAAATGGAAGGATGATAGTAAGCACGCCCGGTGTGCGCCCCGCGACTTTGCTGATAAGAGAGCAGCCTCCAAGTCCTCCCCGCGCCAGCGCATCGCCGCGAACCTGAAAACGCAGGTCCTCATCTCTTGCCACCAGACGCTCATCCAACTCGGCGACCTTTCCCGCTACCGCGAGACCGAACTCGTCGAGAAGAACAAGGACCGCAATTGGGGCCCAGCCAAAGGTTACTACGACCTGGCCGCAGAGATATACCCAGATTCCGGACATGCGCCGAATCA